GATATTACAGGAGATATTATAAAATTGGAAAAATTTAGTACTTTAAAGTAAAGGTGCATTCAGAAAGTTTCTGACAAATATTGACCGTAAGTAAATCTCGTAAATTTCCTTCATACTGATTGCATTAAACCTGTTAGCGCTTCTGAAAAGAAACTTAAAATCAGTCTTACTGTGACTCATAAGTTTTAAAGAAGTTTTCAGCTTCAAAATCAACAAAGTGGATAGACAGAGACTTCTTTTATAAGGTATTTCAGTCCGAACTTTGTGAAATAAGTAACTAGCTCGGAATGAAAAGCTAGTCAATTTTCAACAACTCTCAGGTCTTCAAGGAAATCTAATAGAGCCTAATAAAATCTGTTGGAGTCGGGTAAATAATTGTTTTTATTTGCTTGTTCGTTTAGTAACGAATGAATAATTGGAGTTCGCAAGAAAAATTTGAACAAATTGATCCAATTACATTCAACAGTTACTAATGGCGTGGCGTGTTTAACTTCTACTTTAGTATACTTTGAATACATGAGCTTTATAATGAACGTTTAACTCGTGTTCAGGTATTAGGATAACGGAAGATAGATAATTATAACATTTCAAATTTTCTGTTCTTGATATATTAGTTTAATTTAAAATCTATTAGTGGTCAAAAATTCTATTGGACATAGGTAGTATTTTTTCAAGATTCACCTGGTATTCGGTAATCCTTTCTTTAGCGAGAAAAGCAAGAAACGCTGGATAGTGCCGGTTTGTTTCATGGTTTTCCCGTCTAATTAGTAGTTAGAGCATGAAAAGAAAATCCGTATATAAGAACATTCGTTACCGGAAAAAACTAATAACAACTAAGTGGATTTTTTAAACGGAAATATTGTCTGGCTTACTAATGAATTTTTAGTGTTCAAGATTAATGAAAACTCGCCGCTTTGTTGAGGAAAGAGACACTTCAATCATCTTAAGGAAACGTGTTTAGGTATATTGCTCATAACAGGAAGAATCATTAAACCTCCCGTTTCGGTTCAATTTTAGGTTGATTTATTGTTTTATTCGTAGCCAATAATGGCGCATAAGAGGTATACCGAATAATTTATTATGTCTCCCTAATGGAACAACAGACTCTATTAAATATGCACTATTCGATTAATTAAATGGGTTAATTTTGACTAGCCTTCAGGGAACTTAAATGTGCAATAGCCAATAAATTGGCATTTAGAAATAGAAGAGTAACGCTCGTAGGCGTAGTCAGTGTTTATTTTCAACGATAAATCTAGAACTGTCAAGTTAAAGAGACTCTTTAAACCATTGATTAGTGTTAAAAAGGAGTGTTGAATACGGGCCAATATTTTTCATTTTGATTGGGACTTATTTTTTTGAAGAAAATTTTCTTTATCCCTCTGTAACCCCAAATGGATAAAGTTATAAAAATCTGTTTATTCCACAGCAAGCTTTTAACAATCACAATGATCCATCTTATTGGAGATAAAGTAATAAAATCTTTCAGAAAATTGTATCGTTCCAAAAGGAAACGAGTTTTTTCGATGATCTTGTTTATCCCCGATATAATCCCAGTAGCAGTTTTTAGGCATTTAAATATTGCGCCTATATCTATTAGTTTATTAAATTCGACGACATATATGGATATGGGATACATAAAAAGTCCAATATAGCGGCGAGTTGCCTCGTAAAACTGTAACCATTTTTTCATGGGTTTTTCATAACTCGTCAATCATTTTATGTTATTTTTAGGACGCCCGGCCAATCCGCCAAAATGCTATGCACAATCCGTTGCAAACAAAAAATAAATTTAGGCATTTCTCGGTTCTTTATATTTTCATACAGATGATTTATGATTCGAATTCAACTTTTATGTTCCGGGAACATAAATTTATAATGTCCCTAATACGAATTTCAAATGCATTAATTAGATCACAGATTAGAAGATTCCTAATGTGTCAAAGGCGGTTATGTATAAAAATTTTGGAGCTTCAATTACACCTTATCCCGTGGTGAATTTCTTATTTACGAGTTCATTAATGTTTATCCCCTAGATAAGCATCTGGGCAGGACTAGGCAATGAATAAGGATTATCATTTAATGGTGTTTATATACTAATGTAATAGACCTTTCTCTTGCTCTCCTATCTCATTCTCTTATCTCATGACCTAAGTGATTGTCCGTTTTATAACGCCGCTTCTTAAGACGTAAAGCGTCGCTATAATTAATATAAATGTTCGTCCGAGAAAAGTTTAGCGTCCCTTGTGTTCATGATCTGTTAACTACCGCATTGTAAGAAACTATTAATTCTTAAAGACTGTAAAAGTTTAATAAAATTCAAATGAGCGAATAAATTGAATTACGAGTGACTTTTAAAACTGGAATTATTGCCGGGTGCGATTTATTACCGACCGCAATCAAAATTGTTTGATTATAAATAACGTTTCTATATTTTTATAGAATGTGAGGTAAAAATTTACTACTTAATAGTGCAATTAATTATTAGGTGTTTACGATCATTATTTATTAGTGCAAAGTGTGATCATATTTTTGTTCCAACTTTTCCTGTTGTCCTGCTTTTATTATATTGCTGGGCCTTTGCTAAATAGGTCGTTCCGCCCAGGACGAATTCATGTCATTTTAGTTTGTAAATTTATAGCGTCAGTTATTGGGGCTATTCGGTCACTGTGACACCAAAGAGAGAAAAATCCTGGCACTAATCTCACACTTTTTTATATTAAAGATATTTTAAAACAGATTCCTCATAATTTACAAAACCCAGTCTTTCATTATTCTTAAATTAGAATTTCATTTCTGCGAGGAAATGAAAAAAGCCGTTTTCTTAAACTTATTTTAATACCTACTGTTAAAACAAAAAGACATCTTTTTAATTCATTCGCTGTATTAATGTCTCTTTTACAAACTTATTCAGTCGCCTACATTATTTTTTACAACTTTCGTTCTCCTTTAGGACACTCTCCACCTACAAGCTTTATCCAAGTTTATTTCTTTGCTCGTACAATTTCAAAACTTAACACGTTTGGTACTGGTGTGAAATTAACACGTATGTATGGGTCCTCGTGTAAATAATTATCTTACGTTTCGAAATTTCCAACTTTCGAACTTATTAGATATTCATTATTCTGTACGTACAACACCTTTGATCAGGGAAAATTCGCTAAACAAAGCTCGTTAGCTATATTGGAACATCAAAGCAAGACAGCAAAGGAAACCAAAATCTTATTAAGTTGAGCAGTCGGCGAATCAATGATAATCGAATATGAAATTTAAGTGAACGTGAAAAGTATCCTTTATATATTTTTCGATGGATTTTGTATAAGGTTTAGTTTGCAGATGTGTAGATTGTATGGGTACATGACAGCCTCGAAACTAAAGGCAGTGTTTATACAGTCAATCTAAGAAGCCATCAAAGTTTAGGAAATTCAATTTCAAAGTTTAATCACGGTGTACGTAGTTTTAGGTGAAAACAACAAGGAATTGTGTTTATAATAATTTTACTACGTGCATGTCGCATACATTTTTTGTACAAAACCATCCTTGTGAGAAGATATCTTATACAGTAAAATTAAAGAGATAAAATCATTACTCTATTATAAAACACTTACAAGTTAACTAATTTTTCTACCCCGACGAATTATGTTTTAACAAATGACCCATCCAAATCGCATCAATCCAACCGTCCGCTATTGGCCTAATTGCAGATAGATCGCGAACGTTGCCGCTTAACCGTCCCATCCATTAAGCCATTTGTAATCCTTCCTGAGCTTCTCAACTGTGCAATCTTTTTCCTTGGCCCTTTGTCCGTTCCCGGGGCAGAAAAAAACAGTAAAAATCCCGAACAGTGAGAGGTCATTTGTTTAATCGGGCTGAAGCTACAGCACGCATTTCTCGAGATTTATGAAGAGAAACAGGACCTGCGAGAGTTGTAAATTTTACACTGGGAATACACTCATAAAAAGATAATGCTGATACGGTCCGTTATCCAGATCGTAAACAACTTACTGAAGTATGCTAATAAGATTTAATGTACAGCGATTACACAATTATAGGCAATTTAATTATACTGGTTATCGCTGAATTAAAAAAAAACGTATATCTAGCATGAATATTGTTTTGCCATAAAGTGTAATTGATTCAAATACAGTCACTTCAATTTTTATAGAAAAACTGTCGAGTGTTTCCACAAACCTCTCTAGTATGAACGACTGGGGATAATGCGGAACGATTTCTTTTACGCGTGTAGGGAGTCTTATGAGAAACATAAAACAAAATGAAAATTTACACCCACGCAATCTACGAGAAGTTCAGAAGGAAGACGAGATGCGAAATTATCTCGAATGTGGAGTACCTACTGAAAGGTCACATTATAAACATTGCTGGCGTATAAATGTCGTGGATCGATGATATTAAAAAATGCTCGAAATATAATCGCAAAATTAAGTTTAAACGAGAAATCTGGTATTCTAATATTTAATATTCTTTTTAAGAAATAAATTGCGAATAAACATTGCAGGATAACAAAATGCTGCAAATGTACGAAGCGTTCAATGTGTATAAGACTTATCCTATCATAATGAAGAAATGGAATTAAATTACTTAAAGACTTCTACATTCAACATTTTTAATTCATATTCAAATTATCTTTAGAATTGTCCATGTACTTGAACATTGAAGCCTACAGTGCAAGGTATTATCATGATAAAAACGCGGAATTGTGTGAATATTTCAGTTTGCGACACTCTAAAAAGAGAAACGCTGAATACGTGAAATGCATTAGATAGTTCGTGAATAAAAATGCATTGTAATACAGGTGTCTGTCTTGTTCCTGATTTATCTAAGAAGACAGAATAATTGACAGCTTGCGATGGAAAATTGTAATAGAATATTCTCAATTTACAGATAGCTATTACAATACTGGAGTATAAATCCTTTCCTGATTAAATCGATATAAATTATCGATTATTAACGATTAAAAATAAAAATATATTTATTAAAATAATTTATTAAAAAAATAATATAAAAATATCACAAATAAATAAACAGTGCAATTATTCATAACAGAAACAGATTCAATGTTTGTTTAACGAACGCAGATTAATCCAATGTAACTTTGAAATTCCGCATTAACCCTCAGGATCTCTCAATTACTGAGTAATTGGACGTCTATTGAAAAGCAGAACACGCTCTTATTGGTATCCTTATCCAACAAAGATAATTGCAAGCTTGCTACTGTCTGTAATGGAGACAAATTTATAATTAGACAATTATTAAAACAGTTAGTAACCAAAGTTTGTAAGCAGTTGAATTTATACCTTATCTGGTATCAGGCTCGGTAAATAAAATTCTGGTTTGTAACTGACGGGCTCGTCTTTGACCAAGGGGCACATGGTGTTTGTAATTTGATGGCAAGCATTGGGTTCCCCGATATCAACAGGAAAAGATAATATACTAATATGCATATCCAGTTTGGGTTCCAAGTTTTCCAAATAATTAGCTGCAAAAGAACAAACATTAGAAATACAAACCAATAAAAATAGGGGTTTTTGATAAACTTACGAGCTGTAAAATTGACAATCATATTAATTTTTTCGCCGGTGTATATCTCGCAAGGTGATTCCCTGCATGGTCTATTGCCGGAATAAAATTGAACCTCCGCCGGTGTTAAACAATCTTGTTCACCTACAAAGCAAAAATAATTTATAGAAAAAATTAACCAAAAAATTAGGTATGTAACACTTACATTTTTCTACAGGAGCTAACAAACGTTGGTTCGATACTGCATTTACTTCATCCAAATCCAAAACAGTTTTTATTATTCCTGCGCTTGCACATGCAAATAATGCAGTTAAAAGAACTAAAGTCTTCATGATAAATAGAATAGTAATATTGACAGTTGTAATAGTTAAGCTTTGAATATACTTTCTAATGGCACGATGTATATCAATTGATTAATTTTTCTCCTTTTATATACTTTTTACACTTAACAAAATATTTTTGGCGAGGAAATTGATTACATCTACTCATTAATAAGTAGATAACGTTCTTAAGTACCTACTAGGTTTATATGTTAGTAGGTACTTGAGGTACATGTGCACGTACTAAATAATTACATTAAAAATATGTTTAGTAAGTAAGTAAGGACAAAATGAGTACACAATTTATCATTATTTTATATGCTGGAATCCCAAAAAAATACTAAATAAATAGTTTCCAACATTTTTATTCCATTACTGCTATTCTGGAAATATAAAAGAACTCCATTTTTTTAATCTATTGACCTGAGATAGGGTGCAAACATTCCAGCGGAGAGAAGTTACGGTGTACGTACTTATTTACTCACCTAGAGTACAAAATTAAATGCAGTTTTGTTTATATCGTACACAAAACGGCGTGACACGAGCACCAACTGGCAAACAATATAAAATACGTTTTATTACCAGTGTCGTTCCTCGACGGATATTACGAAACAGAAATATTCAAATTTATCACGCGAAGGAGAATTAAAAGATATGTGGCTCTCACTTAAATTTTATTGTACGGTTTAAATTGCAAAAAACTTATGTTAGGTATCTCATTTTTGAAAATTTCATGATGTTCCTATCCTGATCTTTTTTCTTAAATGCAGGAGCAAGGATAAAATATTTGCGCTTAGGAATAAAATGTAGTACTAATACAGTTGTGAATATTTATTGAACGCTACTGAAAATATAGCAAACAATAAAAATTTCGCATCGCCTTAGAGCGTAAACAATTTCCCGGACATATCCCAAAGAATTTATGGCTCCTGATAAAAACTATTTAAGTCGGAATCTACTGTCGTGAGAGGAAATTCAATTGTGAAAACTATATATCATTTTTTCGGTTTGCTATTGCAACCAAAAGCTATTGATTCCTTAAAACGGATATGTTTTTATGATCGAATGCAGCTCATTCAAAACAAAATTTAAGTGCGTTCAGTGTAATATATTCAAGATAAGTTTGGATATCTTTTTTGATATCTATTTTTGAAAATGTGCGTACACATACTACGTTTGATCAGATAAAAATTATACAATAATATTGATTGTACAGTTAAAGCGAATTTTAAATACAAGTTGAGTAGGTACTTGTAAACTTAAAGGATACCTTTTTTTGATAGGACCTTTTTTTTGATAACTACATTACAGAAGATCCCAATCTGTACTGTTACATCATAAATTGAACCGAAAAATAATGCCTATATTATGCTATAAAATTGCCAAGTTTATCGCAAATTCTCCTTAAAACTGTCAATATGAAATTAAATTTTTGTTCGGAAACTTTGCGAATTATAACGCATTAGTCCGGACTTTCTCATAATAGGTTTACTTCGAAGTTTCCGTCAACTTTGTTATGATTAACACTTCAGGCGAAACTTTTTCCCTTTTCTCAATTTCGTCATATAGAAATCTTATTTCGACGTCGACGGAGTTTCCATATAACAGAGGATGTCTATCAAAAAATAAATTACACTTGAATTTATGTTTTAAGTGCCACTAAATCCACCCACAAATATTTACGTTTTAATTTAAACAATTGTCAACATATTTTTTTGCTTTAAAAAACAACCTGTAAATAAATAAATAAGACTACATATGAACAAAACAATAAATAAACCAGTAAACTTGCACTTAATATTGTACGGAATTGAAAACTTTAAAATTTATTCCTTCATCTAAAGTAACATGACAATTAAATTCGGCCGCAACTATTTCCATAAGAACCCTATTAAGAAGTTTCGGTAGCGTTATAACGAGGAACTGGAATCTGTGAGAGTAGATCAAACGACGGATTTGCCACCAACTTAAATGGTCTTTCCATAAAACCTTAATTGGGATTCGAGCCTTTTGTACCTGTACCGACCCTTATTTAAATCGGCTATACAAGAACAGTTTAATTTCGTTGCTGCAGACTTGTCCCCGCTAATTGAACAATTTCCGTTCCGGATCCGTTTCGACACTCAATTTGCGATATTATCAGATTGTTTAATTCGAATGTTTCCAGAAACGATATATACGAAAATAGCGATTAAACGAAATTTAGGGCTAATAAAAATTCATTTCAATGTAGACTCGAGGAAAATTCAATCGGCGATTGCCACGTGAAATGTTAGTATTAAATAACTCGCAGCGGATTATGAATTAAAGAACTTATCTAAAAGTAATTCAATGTTTTGGCTTGGTAACTGGTTTCTCCAATTGCTGGAGCATTGGGAATTTACGGCATATTCCGACTTGTTTTTTAATGCAAATAGTAAAATTACGTCAAACGAAGGTCGCCTAGGGAAATTGAAATCTGGAGAAAAAAATTGAAAAAAACAGAACGCGCGTAATGGGAAAATAAATGGTTTTCTTTTTTATTTCGCGCGACGGCTAAATTTAGAAGTGCTCTTCGTAGTCGCATGAAAAAATGATACCTCTCTCTATAAAATTCAATAAATGATTGATCAGTCTCGGGCAGCTTTCTCGTTGGAATTCGTCACAAATATCTCGTTTACCTTGTCTTAAGGTACCTATCTCTAATCAACAGTGGGACGGGGCGCTCGTTTCGCGACGATCGAAAAAAAATATTTTCACAACGGGCCGCGCCGACACAATACCGAAAGCCTTCTCTAAAATGCCTCGATAAGAACTCAAATATGTTTCATTTCATCTGGAAAATACGAACGCGCTCCGTTCATATCGAAACGCAAGAATTTTTTTTTGTCGAGGGGGATTTGCTTTGCCAGCAGATCATCCGTTCGGCCGTTTTTCTTTTTTAGTTGGATTCGAAACTGTTTTTACGAGCCGTAGCGAAGAAACGCTTATTTTTCAACGACGTATGTATTTCCAGTTGATTTCGAATAGCGGTTGTAGAATGGATTCGATGTTTTATTTCGACTGCTCAAATTACGAGTGAAGAATATTATTTGCTACTATACATATACAGTAACTTCTAGAACGCCTATACATACAGAGATATTTGATTGAATATTAAAATGTATATGTTACGGCTGATATGGACACTAATTTAGTTTGTAAACTAACCATGCAACTATTTTTAAAAACCTGCGCGGCTATTATGAAGAAATTGGCTAATTTCTAATCCTGTTAGTTTCATCATTTCAACCCCTGTCCCCCTAAACAAAACGAATTTTCAACAATAATCAAAGGACAATATATTATTATGCGGCATGTTTAATAAAAACCATTACATAGGTTAGAACAAGCTATCTATTCCTCGAGATTTTATTGTTCAACTTAGATCATTAGATACTTATTTTCCTCTTTTAGTATTGTGTTAACACCGTGCTAAGTTTATTGGATGACATTAGATTAAATTCTGATATAATGTTATAGGTGTTTCGATCCAAAATAGCCATCCAACCTACGCTGACAGCCATTTAAGTGGTTGTCATATATCTCCGGCTATCCTATCTTCGGTGCTATTAATCATAAGAATGTCGCGATGCTGCTTATATGGGCAGATATCCATCCCTTGACGAGGCATAAAATGAGTTTGAAGCACTTTTCTTGGTATTTAGTATGGAGCGTTGAAACTTTGTAATACAAATTCGTTGAGATTAACGAGATGCGTTCAGGGAAGCTTTCTTTAAAATAATTTATAGATGCTGTAGTATTTTTCATTTATTTAGCTAATTTTTAGTTGAAGAATCTGTAAATTACTGTGTTTATTTCAATTACTTTTTTCATGAAAATTATTTTAATTAGTAGCTTTCTAATTAATGGTTTTTAGTTCGTAGGTTTTAATTAAATTCATTTTGCCTTCAGTGTACAGGAAAATGAGGAAAGTTAAAAAAAATGTTTATTCACAAATAAGACAGTTGGTGTTAATCAAAGCAGTGGTTCGGGTGCTTTTGTAAAACTTCATTCGAACGAAACTTCATCTAAAAGGCTACGTGAGAAACAAAAGTGCAGTCTGTTAACAAAAGCATCAAAATGTGGAAATAATTAAAAAGCTTCCGAAGTAAGTTGTATTTATTCATGTGCTACAATTTAATTTAAACATCGTTTTTATATTTTTGGCTCTATTAAATGCTACATAATTCCATTATTAGCAATAACAAACTTCTAATTTTATATAAAGAAAATGAAACAACTTAAAAAGGAACAATACTGGAATTAGCATAAATCTAAAGCCACATTGTAAAATCCTTCCGATTAACAATTTCTAAATGGAAACTGGTCCAGAGCCCGAAGCATAAGCCCTCAAATCTTCGTCACATAACGCGCCGTCCACATTAGATTTCCCAAATTAGTCTAATCTAGTTAGGACATCTCGGAATCGCCTCCGTTTTCCATCTGCCATTGTATCCCCAAACAAGTAATTATATCGGTTTCCGGTCAGTTATTCAGGGAGGCGCATCGCTGAGTTGACAGTCGCCCTCGCCTCTTTTGTCGTACTGGAATTAATCGTCGTCCGGGGTGCCATCGACGGATCGACGCCCGGCGACGCCGAAATCCCGAGATTTACTTTTTAACTCGGAACTCGCACAAAGACGTCCTCGCGAGGCGGTGTCGTCGGTATATTGGCGCAACTTAAATGTGGGTCAAAGTCGGAAAAATGACGGCTGGATAAATTGCGTCACGTTGCAATATTCTTTTATTGAACTCTCCGAGTTAGTGTTAGGGCAATAACCGATTTGGGTCATCCTGTCACCACAATGGATTCCTACTGGCCCGGAATCGGGTGGTCGGGGAAATTTCCTATACTAGTTTATCTACTTAGTTTAATTGATTCGTTATTAAGTTTAGAAATTATTTGTTACAGATGCGCCGTTGAGCGATGAAGGGAATGTGGGCGTCAACTGTAAGGGTTTCCGGATGTTTCCGAATTTCATCAAATAAGGGAGAATGTTTGCGAACGTTTGAAAAATGATGCGTATATCTGAAGGCTGAATAATGGGAACTTTAGAGGAGACGAATTTCTCCACAAATGAATCGGGTTCTTACGGAGTTTGGCCCATCGTCTACGCTAATCCCAATGATTCCGATTTCCAGTCTTGCCTCGAAGATGCCGAAATTACTACAGCATTTAGGTAAATATTATTGTTGTATTCTTTAAAAAACACACCAGATCTCCTATTCTTACTAACATTTACCTTTTATACCTTTTGAATTATTCTTCTAAAATATTTACTCATTATTACATATTTTATTTACACCAACTATATTCGCTAAACATTTGTTGAAAATTAAGAAATTGACTCTATTATCACCAACCATTCTTTCCAGATTCGTTATAAATGGCTTGCTAATGAATATAATTGGAGTGCTGGGCGTATTAGGCAACATAATTTCCATGATTATTTTGTCGAGGCCTCAGATGAGAAGCAGTATTAATTATTTATTGATCGGCCTGGCACGGGTCGATACAGTACTGATCATTACGAGTATTCTACTATTCGGATTACCAGGTAAAATTTAATTTGCTAAGTGTGCATATTAATATTTATGAAAATTGATTAAGTGGATAATGTGAATAGTAAAGGTATTATTGCTATGGATTTAAATATGCACAAGGAATAAATTCCAGAGTGCAAATGATCAAAGAAGAGAAATTTATGGAATGGTGAACAAAAAATGAGGAAAAAACATGCAATATTACAGAGTTCAACAGGTTTATAATGAAACTCAATAGGCAAACAAATTTGCACATTTATTATATCCACTACAATTTCCTGATAAATTAAAATTAATTAATGCCTTCCACTTCGTCTAATTACATCCGTCCAATATTTATTTTGCATAAATAATTTCATCTGATTCATATTGGCAGTTCGATTAATGATTATTTGTCCGACCGATTGATTTAACAAACGGACTTCTCGATACCCCTAATTGGCTCACCGCGGGGTGAACATAATAACAATAGATCCCTGCCGATAACAGTTAACCTCAAATATAAATTACTCGTTAATTGGGGTTATTGAGACTAAACGTAGTTCGCTTGTCCCGTAGGTGATTTAACTGGATATATATTCGCTACGCCTCGTATAGGTGTAAATTCCTCGTGATTATTAATGTTGCACGTTTTGTTTTAGGGATATACCCTTATAGCGGTATGCTCTTCAGCTACTTCTACATCGTCTTGCCCCATATAGCCCCCGTAGTATTTCCTATAGCCACGGTAGTACAAACAGCATCGGTATATCTTACTGTGACAGTGTCTCTAGAGAGATTTGTGGCTGTTTGCCATCCGTTGAGGGCCAGATCGCTGTGTACGTACGGCAGGGCCAGAATCTACGTGGTAGGAATTATCATATTTTCCGCTATGTACAATTTGCCCAAACTTTGGGAAACAACGGTTCAAAAAGAGTGGAGCGAAAGGGACAATTTTACGGTGTATTGCGTTCGAGAATCCGCTCTAAGGGGCAACGAAACCTACATCCACGTGTACATCCACTGGTTGTACCTGATATGTATGTATTTGGTGCCGTTCGTCTCACTAGCAGTATTGAATGCTTGTATATATAGACAGGTTGGTAACTATAGTTTGTTGCAGGAATAGCATTAGTGTTATCCACCGTATTTTCAGGTACTGAGAGCGAATCAGGAGCGCCAGCGCCTCTCCAGGCATCAGAAACGCGAAATCGGCCTAGCGACCATGCTTCTAGGAGTCGTCGTCGTCTTCTTCATATGCAATCTCCTCCCGTTGGTCATCAACATCATCGAATGCTTCAACGTTCGCATACCTTTCGAACTCGACTATCTGCTGCAAGTCAGCAATCTGTTAGTGACGATAAATTCTAGTGTTAATTTCATCATATACGTGATCTTCGGCGAGAAATTCAAGAGACTATTTTTGATATTGTTCTGCAACAACAATTTGTTCAGAGGCGGCAGGGAATCCCCAGACGGCGTCACTCACGAGGACAGCTTCATGTCGAACGGCGACAGGCAGAGTTTGAGGTAAGTACTTCATTTCATTTCGCTAATCTTCGATTACCTTCTGTGCACGGCTTCGATTTCGATTCTTCCAGGTTGCACAGGCACAGCACGCTCAGCAGGAACGGCACGAATTCATCAAACACCGGCCGCACGAACGGCTCCACCAGGATCTCGCAGACGAGGCACAGCTGCCGCTACGGCAGGACTTCGAGCCCGAGCCCGTGCGTGTACTATCCTGCTAGCAGGAACAGCAAGGAGATCACGCAGACGACGGTACTGATAGCCGACTGACATTGGGCTCCGCAGGACGAGACGCTCATGGAGAACGACGATGTATGACTAGAGAGGGCGAGGTCGCTCGAGGACTTCTGCAGGATCGACGGGGAGTTAGTACAGGGTGATTTAGAGGCTGATTACGGTTTTGTTTCGTACGGATGAAGATATTGGTGATCAAAATTAAATGTGTGTTACGAATACGAAGTTATAGTTAATAATTAATTGATGTTTATTTGCGTTATTCGTAGGTACCTATATGTCTATTTGCACTGAAATTCTGCTGAAAACTACTAGTCAATCTTTCATTTTGGTGAAATTTGCTGTCTATACACAGAAGTATTTTCGAGAAAAAGTGTTTTTGATAACATGTTCCGGAAAATTATTTTACAATAAGTTTATCATCTTTATGAAAAAACATCAAAACGACCAATAAATTCTATTATCTTTCGGAAAAGTATTTCACCGAGCTGTACACATTCGCCTAGGTAGTTTAGTTGTAAACTAATAAATTGATCTCCGTAGTGAATTTTTAAATTATTAATAGAGAAATTGCTCATTTCTATACCACTCATACATCAAAGACATACACACATTTTGACAATATTTCACGAATTTTTGTGTGCTATGTAAAACATATTTTAAAATATTCCAAAGTAAAATAGATTGATATAAAACTTATCACGCCCAGTAGTCTCCTGATGTCTATATTTGTATACTATTAAATAGTTAACTACACGATATACATTTCAAAGAATATGTAAATAGAGCTGTTCGATTTTATGTTCCCTTCCCATTTAATTAAATACTCGCTATAAAAATAAAAATTAATTAAGGGGAGGGATGAAAATCCTACATATTTTTCCATCACAACAATCCCATTAGTCTCTCTGTTAGATTAATGTATAAAAAATATAATCAAAAGTGGAAATCATTGCACTGTATAAAGTTCTAATTAAAAATACATGTTAAATAAAACAGGGTTATCAAATAACATAAAAAAAACAATTTTCACCCTGTACAAATAAAATACCTTCGACAAAAAATACGACTTCATTTGGCCGAACCACACTAATGAAAATGATTGTATTCTCGCGTGTAGGAAAATTTTAATTTCGAACACAGCTTTTGCAAGTTAGCTTTTCTTTTTTCGATGCCTGAACGAGCGAGAAAATTTACGGGGGAAAAATCTATTTCGAATCGTTCTTGCATAGTTCAGCGTAATTGAAAAGCTAAAAAGAGGCGAATAAGACGACCAAAAGAAATTGAATATATTTAATATGAAAATCGACCTTTTACAAATCAAATGATCGATTTTTGAATTTTTGCCATTCTTGCCATTTTTGCATTTTAAGTAAAATAATCATTTTAATGCAAAGTGTTGCAATAGATCTTGCTTAGTATTCCTGTTATTTTTTCATAATCAAGTATTAAAATTTAAAAAAATTAGTATAATGTTTAAATGTCAGTTGCCCAGTTGCGCAAATTCTAATCAAAAATGAATAGAAGATTAGAAGATTAATGGTTTGTTTTATACCAGTTTGTGCAATTGGAAAGCGCCTATAATTTGTCGTTAAATCTGAGAAATAGGGGAAAAGAAAAAACGCTTCACTACGACCAATGTGTCGTTATTAATCTATTAATATTTGTGTGTTCAAATGAATAAAACTGTACTTTGTGAGATTTCATAAGTTTTAAGCATCATGTAGTATTAAAATTAATCGCCTTCCCAGAAAGTTGTATTTTTTGTCAAAAATTCATATTTCAATATTATCCATAAAAAATCGTTGAATCTGAATCCTGTCGTGACAACAATAAGATACTGTCCAAAAATATACTTCGCCGTGCGAATTTCAGAGGAGTTTTAACTTTCACTCTGTCAACACACTTCCTCAAATATTGACAAACAAATCAATTTCCTCGGGCAGCTGTCGCTATGGCTCTTGCTGTAAGTGCATGGTAAAAATCCTCGTGAATATCCACTGCACATGTCAAATATTTTAACCGAATTAAAAACCTTTCATGTGATCTCTAATAGTATTTTTTTAACACCTATTCCTTAAAAAAGCAATAATAACGTTAACTAAAAATTAAATTATTGAATAAATCCTGTATGCGGATAGCTATTACATTTCACAAAGAACTTTTTTGTCGATTTTTCAATTTCATATTTCTGCATTCGCTTTTGTCACTGAATTATATCGCATTATACTTCATAAAAACCTGGATTATTAAACTAAATTCGCCCTCATATTTCACGCTTACTATATCCAACAAGAGTAATTACAGGATTTAACCATGTTAAATAATAAGAGTAATCTTATTATTCCATAAAGCTTATACATTAAAAAAGAATCCAATAAAAAGAAATTGCAAGAGAAAAATTACAGAAGAAGAATCTTAGCAGATGTACCTATTTGGGATAATTGGAGAGTATTGAGAAAATTTCACCTGGTAACTGGAATTTTTTACTGCGACAATCGATGAGTCAGGACGGCACGGCATCAGCGTCCCCAGAGTCTTAACACATAACAATTTGAGCAGTCTCCGAGGTCAAGCGCCTTGTATTAATCCCCCAGGTAGCTCTGAACATTTTAGTTCGCTTTTTCCGCGCAATACTCGACACGACGCCGCGACGGTGGTCTTAGTGTACTCCTCGAAATTACTCCCCGAAGGATTTTTGCTGAAAGATTAAAAAGAAAAGGGAATGCAGCCGATGGAAATGGACACTCCGCCTATTTACAGTTCGCCCCCGCTATTAATTTATGCATCTAATTTAATTAACAGATTGCGGACGAAACTTCTGGAAGATTTCTAATTAGATTTTTTTTGGAAAAAATCCGCTTAAAAACACCATTAATTTGTAATGCGTTCCCCCAAGAACCAGAATGGCTTTTAGGCGTTCTTATTAAATGCTATTAGAACTTGGCGCAATCTGTTTATCAAAAGAAATAAACGAACGAATTGTTCGTTCCCAATGGTTACTTCACTTATCACGCAATTCGGATGGGGTTCTGCTCGGCGCATTTTCACCAACACTGTGGCTACATTTACGCAGCTTTGTATTGGAAATTTATAAAACGTTCAATGTCCGATGTCTGAAAAGTTTACTCAATTTTTAAAACACTTTACATTTAAAAGTTTTTAAAGAGTTTTTAGAGAGTCAGAAATACGTGTATAAAATAAAAATAATCGATTTGAGGGTATCGCTAAAGTTTAACGTAAATTCCTAAGGGCCCGTGCGTCGTATTCGCAGTCACAACCTCCTCGAGTAACGCCGGTTTTTATTGCGAGCCGCAGGAATTGGAATACCTAGATCTGCGCGACTACGCTCTAACTCCGGATTACCGGTTTAATAACGTTTTGGTTTTTAAGTTTGATTCGTTTTTTTATTAGGAATTTTGTTTTTATTGCGAGGAGACGGACCGGAAAATGCACCGACGACGCTTTCGCTCGACCGATAAAAAAGGCGACGTAAAACCGGAAAATTCAGCTCCTATTTTCCACTTAAGAGCGTCCTCTCGCAACGAGGAAGTTATAAACGGAAGATTGCCTAAACAAACCGGCTTCCTTTAAAATTATTGTAACTAACCGCAATTAAATTTGAGCCAAACAAAGTTGTATAACCAGTCATTTCTAAAATAATTTCACCGCCCAATAAATTCGAGTAATTAAATTTTCACGGTAAACAAAAAGCTTTTTGAGCTGTAACTTTTTAATAGAACGGGAGCGGAATTACAGCAGTACAAAATTTCATGGACTAATAGCGTAAAGGCAACGCATGAAGTATCGCCAAAGTTGGCTTTACAAAGTGCATCAAAACAAAACAAAAATGTATCCCAATAAATGCAGAGTGAGAGGGATCCGGCTTTTCCGGATCAAACACAAATATAAGCAAACACCAGACAAAGCAGAAGCTCAGACTTTGTAATTTGGCTTTGTCATTCGGGCGATTCGTGTGAGGATAAGACAGGGGATAAATAAGGATCATGTCGTCCTGTAAATACTGCAAACCGGATTCGTAGGAGGAGCAACGGACTTTTCTTTATAACTGGACTAAACCACATCTAAATAATTCAACAAATGTGTGCCTAATTTTGTTGGGATTAAAGAAGCTTATATTCTATGTAAGCAACTAACTAAATATTTTTGTACCATTATTGTTTCATGCAGTGTTTATATGTTTGGTTTTCATTTTATATTGTTCGTGAAAACTTATCTCGTTTTGTTTTTCCAACCGCATGTCAACGTTCTATTGATTTTCCTCTGTTATCTAGGACCTATATAGACGAAAGGAGCATCCGCCATAAGTGGTTATTCAACGTTGTTATCTCAGCTATACAGGTTTTTTGTTGATTTTGTAAGGTCTACCGATCGAGAGTTCTTGATTTTCCTTTCATTGAAGATTGTTCAGGCCGTGGGCGAAAAGCATCCATTGCATAACATAGAAAGAACTTGAAAAATGATATAATGGGTGAATTTCATTATTTTTCTCTAACATTCATGAATATTTATTTGGGTACAAGGTACAAGCAAGGTTATCAAAGGTCGATTCTGCAATAAAATTTCACCCAAAGATGATGCTATCTAAATTCTGCATTTTACTGGGGAATTAATCTAAAATTATAATTTGGATGTGTACGTAAACGCCTAGACGAAAATCCTTACACATCCCGGATTTGCTGTTTACAAATTAATTTATCGCCGTCCCAAAATATATGACTGGAATATTCCGTGTTTTATGAGGCGTCAATTTGCAATTAATTTACCAACAATTTATTACCAAATTGAATGTCCTTAAAAATCAATTAATTAGTTTAATTTATCTATACAAATTAGACGAAACAATTTGACAATGAAAATGAACGCGACAATTTCTCATCGCTTTTCAACCCATAAACAGATTAAGCTGGGAGTTAAGTCAATAGAACAATAATTTTTGAAAGCCATAAATCCGTTGAATTTATGTCAGTCATCAGTATAAAATCGATGTTGCCCGTACATATTTCACTGCGCCC